GGGGCAGGCGGGAGATGTGGCCAGCAAGGTGATAGAGAAGATGAGAAGCTCGGAGAGAAAGACGCCTGCACCAGACCGTCGGGTGTTAGCAGTGTCACCAATACCGGAAGAAATTTGGGAGCTGTCAAGTTCGAGATGTGCGTACCATCATGCCCCGTGTGCGACTCTACCAAGAGGTCTAGCACTTGTACCTGCACAACAACCCCAAAAGACGTTCGGTCAAAGGCTGCTCATAGGCTTCTCGTACTATGACTGCTGATTGGAGCATGACACTGATTTGCCGAGTGGAATGGGGGCATCGCTTTGAATCGCATCCGTCACGACGGGTTGGGTGTCATGTCATATTGGAGCAACTGGACCAATACCGGAAATTCAGCTGGGAGACGATACGACGACAATGCCAACAACGGCAACAAAAATTGACCGACATGCCATTGGTGAATGAATCGGAGCGGCCACCGAAACAGAGTTCGAACTGAGTGTCGGATGGAGTGACGTTGAAAGAGAGAGAGAAGCAGAGTGTTGCGGAATCCAAAAAGTGCGGTGGACTGGACGTTGGTGGTGAGTGGATCCCGAAGCCCACGGCCTTGAACTGCACTAACGGGGACACTGGCCAAACACCCCTTATCGGTATCCTTATCTGATAGGGGGGTACATGAACACAAACTGTCGGCATGGGCGACGGGAGGCGCCTTCCCGAACTCGTCCTTCCTTCACCCAGATCACCGGCACCTGCCAAAATGCCAAATTGAAGCCCGCAGACTGCAAAAACCAAGGCAGTCATGCGTGCCTGTCATTTGAACAGAAAGGAATAAACGACACATGGAATTCACTACCGTCGTCACGCCGTTAAAATTAGAAAACGACAAGGTCCACCACAGTTCATGGTACGGCAGTGGAAGGAGCAGTTCTCATCCAGCCACGCGCCGTCAAGTTCTTATCACAATGATGCTCCGCCGGGACCTGACCTGAATCTCACTCACTCAGCCTCTTCATCGACTCCATCTTCAGCGCCTTTCCCTTCAACACTATCGATCAGGCTATCCCCCAAAGATGCCGACCGCGAGACCCATGCGTCGATCAATCATGGCCCAAAGCTTAATCTTAACCGCTTCTTGACCAATCCGCCCTCTTCTCCCTACACTGCCATCTCCAAGAAATCGTCGGTGGCTGGTCTTTATGCGCCTTTGTTCTCAACGGCATGCTTCACCAAGAGTCTATGCCCATCCGGGACTTGCTAACAACGTAGCTCCGACGTGGCTCGGAGGCTCCGAAAGGTCTAGAGCATTGACTTCTTCACAAAGAATCGGAGGCAGAGACTCGTAGGACTCTTCGGCTGGCACATCTCGTTCAGTTCGGAAAGTACTCCAAACCTCTTGATGGCGATGAAGATGACGATACGAGGTGGGATTGGCTGAACACATGTCTCATAATAATCCCCTTCGAGAAAACAAAAACTCTATCTCTACTGACCAGACCTAGACATGATCCTCGTATAGGAAATCTTGCTGGGCTATCGGTATCTCGGATCGGACTCAAAATGGTTCAGAATAAACTATTTTCACGTTTCACAGACTCACTTCAACTTTACGAATCTGGCTGAAGGTGCTTACCAAACAACAAAGAAGGGGACTCCACCGCCATCATCATCACTTTGATGTTCTCTGAGAACATAATGCTCTGCAAATTTCTCGCTCCAAGTACCTCTACCAACCCCAACTGACAGATACTTACACAAGTCGGAAAGATAACCAACACCTGTCTCGGGACACTTTCAATTTTCCATATTCTTTTTCCCTTCGCTTCCCTGTTCAGTCGCTTCATTTCACACAGCCCAATGAGCCCGATGAGATGCATCATCGATCACCGCGGGCAGTGCTCCTATTTCCGGAAGAAAACAACAAACAAACGCAGGTTTTCAGTTTGCTTCTCTGTCCTCGAGTCAAGGACTCGCACAGACACACTCCACGATCGCATGCTGCAACTACGCACATACAACGGAACGAACAAACCGGGGAAAACAAGGTCATACGGATATCTACCTTATCACCCTTTTTCTCCCCCACGCCACACTCAACATCGCACCTGCTTGGATGGGAGTGCTCTCTCAATTCGGTCTACCGACCGAAACGGGAGGGGAGCTGGGTCGCACAAAAACAGGCGACATAGGCACACACACAGGGTCAAGTAAACCCCCCGTCCCGGTTCGACATCCCTGCCAGCTGAAGTTGTGCATTTGCGGACATGGATGAAAATAGAAAGAATGTTTGGCAACCATTTGGACGTCTGTTATAACGGGGGTGGAAAGTAATATTGCATTTCAATTGCGCTCCCGTTTCGGTCATCTTCACACGAATTGGTAAGGTAATGGCAACAACTCAAGCTGCAGAGAAGCAACTCCATACGCACAAAAACAAAAAAAGGCATTGTCACGATAATTACTGATTGTTCATGCGTTCAAGCGAAGCAATGATACATAACAACGCAAAAAGCAAATGAAGGGCACAGCACAGCGAACACACAAGCAAAGAAAAGCAAAGCAAAGAGGCGAAAACGGAGTGACTGTTAATGGTAGACCGGCGGCGGCAGCTGGAGACACAAATCCCAGCTCAACGGGTACCTGCGTTTGTCATACTCAACTTTTTTCTTGTCTTTCCCCCTTTTCGCCCTTTTCGGGGGCAGGGGTTGCTCGGTTCACATCGGACTCACTCATTTTCACTCGCTCTTTGCACTGCAGTCAGTCAGTGCCTTTGCTAGGGCTCGACTTTCGTTGGTAAACAAACGAGGCAGTTAACCGAGCGACTGCCTGGCTCATTGACCGATAAAAGGGGCAGGTATTGACGTTTACCGGTCGGTCGGTCGAATGGTGTGACGAAAAACGGGAGGTAATAGGGGAAGGGAGGAAACCGAGAATAAGTCCTACGGCGCACCTGCCAATCACTCTTTCACGGTGCAGGATGCAGTTGTCAAGGAGGGCATGTTATGTGTGGGAATTGGGCAAACGGACTGGGTTTCAAGGAATGAGCGGGAAAGAACATTCGATTCCACGGAGTTTATGCCTTTTTGACTTCATTCGATGCAAGTGCTGATTAATATGAAAGTGAAGTTGGAGGTGAAGGCAGACACTCAGAGTGCTTCACCACACTTCAGCTTCTATTGGCGGCGAAGAAGTCCACCCATAAACGGGAACAGTGAAGACTGCCCAAGAAGACTACAAGTACAGTACGAATATGGGCTCAGAAAAAGCAAGTGAAACAGACATGAAGGCATCGCCTACGAGAGCACTAGGCGACCAAAAAGAAAACATGGGAGCGAAAAAGATGGAACAAAGAAAGAACACCAAGTGAGGAACGAGAAGAAATAACCAGGAAAAAGTAACGACACTTTCATGACGAAAAGAAATGAAGATAGTATAATAGCAAAGAGTCAAGAGGGTTTAGAACCACAAGTGTTCCCATCATGATTACCGCTCTTCCAAGTTTGAACACTAAGTGTCAATTGAACATGAAGTTATTGACATTACAGTCATCATCGTTCATCTCTCAGGCAATAACCATCCATCTAAAATTCACACCGTCTCGCCTCGCTTCGGTCTTCACAGACTCACTACTATGTGATGAATATCACTTTATCACACTTCCCTTGCCTCCCACCTTTCCTCAACCTTCTCATTCACACTCACTGTCTCGTATTGTCCCCTTATTCAATATTTATCTTTGCACGTAAAGCAAACCGTTGGTGCTCGACTTCATGCGTCAAGAGTCATGACCTGACCTCGATGAAAAGATTGTCTGAAAGAAACCAGACAAGTAAGCTACAAGCGAGGTACATGAATCGAGCTCAATTCAGAAAGAGCACTGCACGTAAACAAGAAAAATTTCCGGGCGCAAAAAGCCCGGAAATAGGAAGGAACAAGGAACGTGGTTAAGAGGAGGAAGTGGAAGGGGAAGAAGAAGAAAGAGGGAAAGCATGATACAGGAAGTATTGGTAGAACCTTAAGAAGGGGAGGAGCGCCCCGGAGAAAAGGGAAGAGAAGGAAAAAAACAAATTAGTAGAGGAGGAAAAAAGCACATTCCCGTCCGGGTCGCGCTTGCCCTCTTTAACTGACGAGAAATTCGAATCGACTTTTTTTTTTTACCTCAGTCAGTCATCACCGTCATCACTCACGCTTCTTGTAAGGAGGCCAACTGGTTGTAATGAGAAACGAACGCAGGCAAAGAATCCGTAAGTTCTGGGAGCCTCAGTGTATGTAGGCTGAGTGAATTGTCCCCTTCTACTTGCCCCGTGGTTGACACTCCTCTCTGACACTCCTCTCTATGGGAACAGAAGTAAGGTAAATAAAGCGAGTTGGTTGGACGGTGTATCGCTCTTACTATATCTAATCTGTGTTGGTGATGTTGCCGACCGGTATATCCAGCTGGTTGGATTGATGTTGTCACCAATCGCTGGACTGCTCGTAGGATCATCTGCGCTGTGGTCAAGATACACAATTGTCATCATATGCAACTGTCATGTAGGTTGAGAAGACTACATGGTGACAGAGCAATTGACTAGTCTAGACTGAAGAAACATGTTGCTTTGGAAGGAATCATGGTTGTCAATAGATTCGAGTATAAATCGCCACTGTTAATATCGGATGAGAAGTTACGGTGCGCGAGGTAGTAGTTCACCATCTCTAGCCATTGACATCCTGAACATTCACCATCCATCTCACACTTTAATGAATGTTTGGACGAAAAGTTAGGGTAAATACTTCAATTTCCCATGGTAAAAACCCAGAAAACCTGACACTGATATGTGATATATATCCAAAAAAAATCCAAAAGAAATAAGTGTAAGAGATCATAAGAGAAAAATCCACATTCGCTCATCCTCATGTCATCCATCCATCCATCCATCCATCGTACTTCATTTCAATAATATCCGTACAATTTTGCTTTTTCCCTTCCATATCCATCCCAAACCTTTTTCCATACCCCCAAAAGTCAAATGACTATGACTTAGAGCTTGGAAGCAGGCAACGAGTTACCAGCGCTGGTGATCTCGTTGTAGAGGAGCGAGGTCAAGAAGTCGGCATAGTCCTCGCCGGTAACCTGGGTGGCGAAGTACTGAGCGGCAAGCTTGAACTTGTTGCCCTGGGGAGCCTTGGCGGCGAGCTCGTCGGTCTGCTCCTTGAGGAGCTTGAGGGCGTAGCCCTTGTCGACGCGCTTGCCCTCGGCGGTGGTGACGCCGTGCTTGACCCACTGCCAGAGCTGGGAGCGAGAGACCTCGGCGGTGGCGGCATCCTCCCTGTTTTTTGTTAGTCTCATGATTAAGAGTCAAGGCGGGATATAAGGAAGAGATACGTACATGAGGTAGTTGATGGGGACGCAACCGACACCACGGATCCAGGCCTCCATGTAGCCGAGACCAATGTTGAGGTTCTTGCGGATACCCTCCTCGGTGATGGAGCCGGGGACGTTCATGTTGAGCAGATCCTGCTGGCCAATCTGGACGTCCTCACGGCGGTTGAAGAGCTGGTTGGGGGTAGGCATGTGCTTGTTGAAGACCTCAAGGGCGATGCTGGCAAGGGCGGGGTGAGCAACCCAGGTACCGTCGTGGCCGGCGCGGGCCTCGCGGAGCTTGTCGGCGCGGACACCCTCCATGGCCTTGTCGTTGGCGGCCTTATCGTCCTTGATGGGGATCTGAGCAGCCATGCCACCCATGGCGTGAACGCCGCGCTTGTGGCAGGTCTGGATGAGGAGCTTGACGTAGGCGTCCATGAAGGGGACGGTCATGGTGACGCAAGAGCGGTCGGGGAGGACGAAAGAGGAGTGGTTGCGGAACTTCTTGATGGTGGAGAAGATGTAATCCCAACGGCCGCAGTTGAGACCGGAGGAGTGCTCACGGAGCTCGTAGATGATCTCGTCCATCTCGAAGGCAGCGAGGATGGTCTCAATCAGGACGGTACCACGGATGGTGCCGCGGGGAATGCCAATGTAGTCCTGGGCGAGGTTGAAGGCGTCGTTCCAGAGACGGGCCTCAAGGTGAGACTCCATCTTGGGAAGGTAGAAGTAGGGGCCGAAGCCGCGCTTGATGAGCTCCTTGGCGTTGTGGAAGAAGTAGAGACCGAAGTCGAAGAGGGAACCGCTGACGGGCTCGCCGTCAATGGTGATGTGCTTCTCCTCAAGGTGCCAGCCACGGGGGCGGACGATGAGGGTGGGGAGAGTCCTGTCGGTGCGGAGCTTGTACTCCTTCTGGCCCTGCTTGAAGTCGATCTGGCGACGGATGGCGTCGTAGAGGTTCACTTGGCCGTTGACCATGTTGGCCCAGGTAGGGGCGCTGGAGTCCTCGAAGTCGGCCATGTAGGTGTAGACATCGGAGTTAAGGGCGTTGACGACCATCTTGCGGTCGGTGGGGCCGGTGATCTCAACGCGACGGTCGATGAGACCGGGAGCGGGAGGCGCACCCTTCCATGTGGGGTTCTCACGGATGTGCTTGGTCTCGGGGAGGAAGTCGGGAAGGACACCGCGGTCGATCTCGGCCTGGCGGATCTTGCGGCGCTCGAGGAGGTTCTTGCGGGTCTGGTTGAAGGAACGGTGGAGGAGGGCGACGAAGGAGAGAGCCTGGGGAGTCAGGATCTTCCTCTGGTGCTCCTCAATGGGGCCGAGGATGGTAACGCCCTGGAGAAGAGTCTCGACGGAAGCCATTGTGATGTGTGTGGTGGGTATTATTCTAAAGGAGAATGCTAATGGAATGAGATCGTTCTTTGAGAAAAAGGTGAAGAAGTCAGCAATGAGGTTCACAGCAGAAAGTTAATAAGTGACGTCTGAAGCAAACATACAAACTAAGAAATCCCGTGCTACCGAAAAGTGCCGAGGATGTGAAGAGAGGATGATGTTTGGTTGGATGACGGAATGCCGGGGTGGAGGAGGGGCAGGCAGATGGATGGAGTATGGACAGGAACAAAGACAGTGAAGAGAGAAAAGGGAAGGGGGAAAGAGTTTGTTTATGTCTTTGAGTTAATAGGAGTCTCGTGAAGAGAAGATCCAATTGCTCTTCAATCCACTTCTCGGCTTGAGTCACTCACCTGGGCAACTCGGTTTCTGGAACCAATTGATGTCTGTTGAGCAAGTCAATCACTCAGTGTCTCGATGGAGCAAGGGGACGGGTCTAACGAAGCATGACGAAAAGAACCGGGGACATGCATCTTGTTCGATGGCTCGGCAACAGCACCAGCACCAGCGCGTGGACTTTTAGACTGAGTGCTTGATGGAGCCCTTGGCGGGGTTGTGTTATCGGCTGTTACCAGTATCTTACCTCTTTTGCTGTTCTTACCAACTGGCATCTGGAGATACCTGCTTCGGGTCAGTCTCCCATGTGGCTCTTCGCGGTTTGTCCCGGTCTACGATGATACCTTGGCTGTTTCTTTTAACAAAGAATGGCAAATCGATGTTCAACTTGAACCATTTGTTCATGCCAGCCGGTGACTGTGACTGCACTGTTTGCTGGCGGCCGGGCCTGGGGTAACATGCTGTCCATGCTGTACGGGAGCCACATCTGTTACCGGTGTAAGTCGTGTCTCCATTGTTCTCTCCATACTTTCTCCATGTCTTGTTGTCCTGCCTCCACACTTCGCGGAAAGGCGGCATTCGCGGAGAAGCGTTGAAGGCGGGGGTTGTTGTCACTCAGATTCTCTATCAATTACTGCTTCAGTGTCATCTTGTTATCTGTCCTTTTCATCTCAGTTAGACATTGAATCTGAGCTTAAAAACGAAGCCATCCTCATGTCAAGACGAGGCCTGTCATCCAAACTTACAAAGGATCAAAGCTGTGTATGTAATGTCAGGGTAATCGACCTTTGACATGTGACGGCTAACCGTACATTTCCCATTGCAGGCTGTGAGGTCATCGGTACGAAATGAGGTACCCCGGTACCTTACGGCCAACCCCGCCATGTGAGTGAGAGGGTCCGCCGCCACTCACCCACAACTTGGGGGAGGACTACGGCGGCTTGCAGTCACTCTTTAACTCGGTAGTTGTCCGACGCCTCAACTTTATCGCTTTTCAAACTCTAATAAGATTTGTCTTTCTCTCTTCATCACCAACAAACAACGGAAGTTCGGGACTGAAGTTACATTCAACGACACTCTGCTTTTTTGGTCAATCATTCCAATAAAACATCCGGCTCCGATATCGTTATGATTGACAACAATCAACAGGTCAGCTGACAAGATAAATTCCAGCTTTCTCCCACTTCCTCCTTCCAGGTTCCCCTGTTTGCTCGAGACCTGTTCCCAAAGTCTCCCTCGCTTCGCTTTCTTCTCCAAAACTTTCTCTTGGCTTTGGAGATGCTTGTTCCGTCCACCGTTCCGCCCTTGTCGTTGCAACTTCCCCAGGCCCGGCGACCTGCCCCGCCATCCATCCGGGGGAGGAGTGGCACTGCCATACAGCAGCCAAGAGTGCCACTCAAACTGGCTGGCCACTGGGAACTGACTCTGTGACAAACCACTGGACGAAACCGACGAACGGGAATCCGTCCCCATGTTTTGGGTTTGTCTCCGATCTGCCGGCGCAGAGCCGAGGTCGACTCCTTTCGGGTGTGGGGAGAACAGGGTTCATGGACACTTTACCGACTCTTTCCGATCCACGTCGTTTGTGTCTACACGTACCTAGTCGCAAAAGTTCGCGACTTCGACTTACACGAGCCAAAAGCGAACATCTAAACAAAGCAAAAAAGACGGAGACGAGAACAAGTCACAAGGAACGGAATTACGTGACTCAAATTCCAGTCCAGGTCGCAGACCGTCCTCGGAGTCCTGACCGTGACACCCAAAGAGGAATGGTCACCTCTGTATGTATGGAATTGGAATCCCAAACCATGACGACCAAAAAAACTTCCCCAGGCCCGAACGAGGTCCATATCTCGATACGGGGTACAGTTAAATTTGACAAGGTCTGGCCAAGCTTGCCTCTCGCCTGCCAGGAACATCGTACCTTTCAAGGTTCTCTCCAATCGCGAGGTGGTGATCACCTGCGATCATCACGAAAAAGGCAAATACTTGTCCAATCTTGAGCCTTCACCGTAGTCCGTGGCAAGCAGAGACAAGTTATCGACGAGAAGAGAACAAATCGTCTGATATGAGTTCGGCTTGGTATCGCAGTCAACCGGAAATACGAGGATCTTCCGGGCACAGATTTATTACCGGGCTGGACGCTATCGTCTTAAAATCCGGTATCTCCTCGATACGTACGCCTTTCGCACCGAACTCAGACAAGTGTCGGCAACGGAGATGAACCGGCCATAAATCATGGGATGCTAGATGCAACGTCCGGCTCGGGAGCCGGCTATATTGGCCATGTCCGTTAGGCTCCGAACCCGGAAGTCTGATATCAGCCGTTGCGAACGCAGGAAAGTCCGCCGGAAAACGGTATCGTAACCAAGATCCAAACTCCGGCCGGTCCGGACGCGGGAGGCGGGAGGCTCCACATTTACCGAATTTGTTACGTACCCTTTGCCGGCATCGCCAACCTCGCCGGTTTCCTGAACTCACCGACCTCACCTTGCTCATCAACTCCGTCCAATTTGTTAACCATTGCCCGTTCATAAAGGTGACGCGCTGCGCTCACAATTCCCAAGTTCAGTTTGTCCACAGGTAACCTTGCGTGAAAGCCCACATCCAAGCTCTCACACGTACAACTACAGGCAATGTACTTCGGAATGCACTGCACTACGCTGCACTTATCGCCGTGCCAGAGTCGCGTGGCAGATTGCATACGCAGTACGCGGCGGCACATAAGGTACGATGAGGCATCTGTAGTCCGATTTCTCATAAGGGACCTACAGTTCTATGTAGGTACTCACTGCAGAGCCAGGGCTCTCGGGCCTCTACCGGTAAGTTTCTAAAAGCTAGTGCCGGCTGCATAAAAACTTCTCGAGACGGAAGGCAAGGGAATGAATGGTGATGAAAACAGCGT